TGCGCAGCCTGATTCATAACCACTGCGCTACCAGAGCTCCTTTCTAGTCTAATATAATTTTAATTTCCAGCTAATATGTATTTCAGCACATAACACATTGTTGTCCAAAATAAAATAACTAGGTAACCTCTCATAAATGGAATGCTAAGTCATTGCTATTGAGTCAGCTTAGACACATGTGACGCAGTAGGACAGACTAGAACTGCGCCATAGGGCTTCCAAAGCTGTCAGTCCTTACGGACGCAAACTGCCATGTATTTTTCCCATAGAGCAATTGGTGGATTCAAATCACGAATCTTTCGCTTAGTGGATAACTGCTTAACCATTGTGCCACCCGAGGTTCTAAAATACTCAAGTCAAACTAAGCCCCCATACTCACTGCCATCCAGTCAGTTCTAACTCCTAGTGACCCTATTCAGACTGTAAATCTATTGGGAACAGAATTCTCCTTCAGAGCTAATGATTTTGAATCACCAACCTTCCAATTGTCAGCTTTTTTCCCTTTTTCTTAAAAAATAGTACAGATTATTCAGATCAGGACACATAGCCTTTTTTTTTTTTTAACGTTTTCCTTGTGTTCTGTTGTGTGTGTGTGTGTGTGTGTGTGTGTGTGTATGTATGTATATTTATATGACATGATGTATTTAGCCAGCCTTCTATTGGTGTTACTAGGTTGCTTATCTTTCCAATAACATAATGCTACATAGTAAACACTCTTGGACTTCCTTTGGCACATGTGTAAAATCTCTGGAACAAAGGATAAATGCATTTTTAAATTTGTTAGATATTAGCTTGTCTACCCACCAAAGAGGTGGGGTTTTTGTTGTTAAGTACCACTAAGTCAGTTCCGACCCATAGCGACCCTGTATAGGGTTTCCAAGGAGCAGCTGGTGAGCTTGAACCACCTACCTTGTGGTTCAAACAGACTGCAGTCCAGTGCATTACCCCACAGCACTACACCAGGACTCTATATGAGTTTTAATTATAGCAAAAAAATTATTGAAGAATGTTTTCTATTCCTGCGCTTTTCAAAATTGTGAATTGTCAAACATTTTCCTCTTGGCCTGTTTGGTGAAAATAATTGGCAGTGTCAATGTAGATTATAGATTGTATTGCTCTTACTTTTGGCAAATTCTTTTAAATATCCTCAGTGGTAGCAAGATTTGTCTTTTGATGGTAAATTTGAGTTTTGGAAAAAGTCAAGTCTTATGCATGTGGTAATTAAATAAGATACTTTCCTAGGTGTTTTTAATTTAGTTTTTGTTCATTTATTTTGAGAGCAAGATGAAAAGCAAGACCTGATTTTTACAAGAAACGAATGTTCTGATTTGGCTTATTAAATGTTTCAGAAGTAGTTTCAAAAGAAGGTTCACAAAAATGTTTAAGGTAGGCACCATCAATAAATGCAAAAATATAGTTTTTGAACTGAACAATACTCATTTGGATGTTATTAATCTGGTATATTTTGTTTAAAAATATAATCACACTGTGAAGACTATTTCACATAGTTTTATTTCTTAGGTGAGTGCGTTAAACACATAAATAATCTCATTTTTATTGGACTTAATTTTTAAAATTAGGTATTGCCATTTTTTAATTTTCCTCCTTTATATCAGTAACTAAGCCAGAAGAAATCATTTGACTATTATTATTTGTTGAATGAGCATTATTAGGGTAACACTTACTTATAATCTTTTTAGTCACTAGGTCAAATTGCTTATATTTTCCATTTCTCCTTCTGAATCTTTTCTGTCTATATAAAGTAAGTAACACAGTTATAATGATCTAAAATTATGCATATTAACCAGTCAGAATTAGGTAAATACTGGTGTTTTTGTAAAAATATATTTAACTTCAGAACAATTTATGTATTTTAGGCAGCACATTAAATTCTAGATCTATATATCTTAATGTGAAGCTGTAGGGTAAACACTTGACTGCTAACCACAAGGTCATGGGTCAAACCTACCAGCCACTCTTCAGAAATTCTATATAGGGTCACTATGAGTCGGAATCGACTCCACAAAACTTAACAACAATACAACAGCAGCAATGTTGAGTTTAGTGTGTTAATAAAAACTAATTTCTGGAGAGGTAGATGTAAAGCATGAAGTGTTATAAATATACAAATATATATTTGGAGTTCCAACATTACTAAAGTGTTCATGGAAGCAAATATTATTTATAATTTTTCAGAACGAAATCATTGTAACTAAACCATCATGGCTTTCTTTTCTATGAAAAATGAAATATCTGGTCAGTTTACTGTAAAGTGAATTTCAGTGGCATGGTGCAACAATTTGCAATCAGATACTAACCTAAAGATTGGTGGTTTGAACCTACCTCAGTGGCACCACAGAAGAAAGATCTGGTGGTCTGCTTCGATAAAGATCATAGCTATGAATACCCAGTGGAACAGTTCTACTCTGTAACCTACGGGATCACCATGAGTCAGAATTGACAAAACGGCAGTGGGTTTGGTGGAAGTGGGAGTAGGTAGCAACCTTTCCTCTTCAGATATTTAATGTGTCTGGATGTTCTGTTCTGCAGAGAAATGGTCAACGCATGGTTTGCTGAGAGAGTTCACACCATCCCTGTCTGCAAAGAAGGCCTCAGAGGCCACACCGAATCTTGCTCTTGTCCCTCGCAACAGACTTCTCGCACAGATAGCAGTGCCCCTGGGACGCCAACCAGGAAAATCTCTGCATCTGAATTTGACCGGCCTCTTAGACCTATTGTCGTTAAGGATTCTGAGGGAACTGTGAGCTTCCTCTCTGATTCAGAAAAGAAGGAACAGATGCCTCTAACCCCTCCAAGATTTGATAAGGAAGAAGGGGACCAGTGCTCACAGCTCTTGGAACTAGTAAAAGATATTTCTAGTCATTTGGATGTCACAGCCTTATGTCACAAAATTTTCTTACATATCCATGGACTCATCTCTGCTGACCGCTATTCCCTGTTCCTTGTCTGTGAGGACAGTTCCAATGACAAGTTTCTTATCAGCCGCCTCTTTGATGTTGCTGAAGGTTCAACACTGGAAGAAGCTTCAAATAACTGTATCCGCTTGGAATGGAACAAAGGCATTGTGGGACATGTGGCAGCACTTGGTGAGCCCCTGAACATCAAAGATGCATACGAGGTAAATACTGAACCATCAAAGCAGAGGTGGATGAAGGGGAGTATGTGTGAAGATGACTATTTTGAATAGTATGGCTATTTGAAACTGAGAAGAATTAGGCTAATTGAGATGTAATAATTTGCATGCTTATTTAAAACTAGACTGTATAGAAAGAGTTCCCATTTTTAAAACGCAAGAGTTTAGAGTTTCTTCAAAGAGTTAAAGATATGGAACTGAGTAAAATTTTGTTTTGTTTTCCTCCTTAATGATAATCTCATCATCATATTCTCTTAACTTTTTACTTTTCTTTTTTTACCTGATAATATTTGAATAACCATATTACCAACCCTGGTGACACTGTAGTATCAATGCTGGACTGCTAATTACAAAATCAGCAGTTCAAACTCACCAGTTGCTATTTAGGAGAAAGATGAGACTTACTACTCCCATTTCTACAGCCTCAGAAACTCTATAAATTCTCTATAAAGTGTTGCTATAAGTCAGAATCAACTCCATGACAGTGAGCTTGATGAACATCTGAAGCTTTTACTGAGATTCTATAACGATAGGTTCAAAAAGAATGAATCCAAAACTGTCAAAAAAGCAAACAAATAAAACAATCATTTTGCATTAATTTATTCAGTCATATTCATTAAAATCACATTGATGCCAAAGTCATATTTTCTTTCTTTTCCTTCCCTTCTTTATTTTATTCATTTGCTTTATTAAACAAATCAACTTTTGAATGTTGTGGGAAAATGGTTATTTATGAGCTAGGATTTGCTATTTCTTCGACTTCTGCTATAGTTAACCATAATTATGAGCTTGAGGATTACATTTAAGAGTCTTACATTTCTCATTTTAATTGATCCTTTTTATTAATAAAATTGTGCTTTTTAAGCACAAGGAAAACATAGCAAATTGCATGGCATTTGGCATGTTTATGAGGTATTTTATACAGCCTCAATTGAACATTTGGTTTAGCTATCTACTATATGGTACAATAAGTAATTGAGTGATAATCAGCTCACTGTTACGTGATTTAAAGGCTCATAGTTTGGTCGCGTAGTGGTTATGAATCGGGCTGGTAACCTCAAGGTCAGCAGTTTGAAATCACCAGCCTTTCTGCAGGAGAAAAATGAGGCTTTCTGCTCCCAATAAAGATTTATAGCCTCAAAAACCCTATGCAGGTTCACTATGATTCAGAACTGACTCCCTGGCACACCACCACCACCAGTTTTTGCCTTTGTTTGGTGCCAATGAATGTCTGACACATAGTCAAATCTTAATAAACATTGGTTGAATGAAAATTATAGTCAATGACAAAACAAAAAAGCATTGCCACTGAGTTAATTCCACCTCATAGTCACCCTGCATAGGGTTTCTGAAGCTGTAAATCTTTACAGAGCAGAAAGCCTCACTTTTCTCCCCTGGAGCACCTGGTGAGTTCAGACTACTGGCCTTGGCAGCTACCAGTCTGGTGCTTATTCTACATCACCACTTGAATCAAGCTGCCTCTATAGGGTTTCTAAGGCTGTAATCTTTACGAAAGCAGACTGCCATATATTTCTCCCTCAGAGCGTCTTTTGGGTTTGAACCATCAACCTTTTGCTTAGCAGTTGAATACTTACCGACTGCCCCAGCAGCACTCTTTATAGTATCCATCTTTCCCTGAAGAGCTGCTGGGGGTTCGAACTACCGACCTTGTGGTTAGCAGTCTGGTGCTTATTCTATAGATCATCAAGGCTCCTTCTTATTAATAGATAAGATAAATAAATAATAAGAGAAAACAGACTGTAATAAGTGCCAAGGAAAGTGTGTTAGATTCAGGGAAGAAGAAGAGGACGTCTAGTTAGGGAGTTGGTGAAAGATTTCTTTGAGGAGACAGTGCTTGATGGTAGACCTTGGAAAAGAGATACAATTGGAATAGATTGTGATGTGTGCATGTAAGGATCCAGATGAAAAGAGCAGTTTGAAGATGATACAAGGAAGTTGGGCTATGTGGCTCTTATTTGGAAATATATGTTGATACTTAGTTGTATGATAAGGTTCTATGGGAACAGGACTGGGAAATTACAAGGTCTCGAGTGCCACCCTGAAAAATACACATTTGGTTCAGAGGAACAATTGAGGATGGTTTGAAGGGAGGACTAATATGATTCCCACTGTGTGTTAGAAAGATGAATTTTACAGTGATTATAAAATGCATTACAGGAAAAGATGAGAGAATAGAAATTTATTCATAGAATCTAGGTAGAAAATCGTGAAGTCATGAATCTGGAGAACACCCATCCTTTAAGATCAAAGGGAGACAATGGATTTCAGATGAAGAGACAGAATTTGCTGGCATTGACAGGTCATAGAAGATGGGAGGGACAGGGAAACAGGAGTGGACAGTGACTCAAGTTTTGAAGTTAAGTGACCGACTACTCCAAAGAGGGTTTTGGGGAGAGATGTGATAGTTTTTGTAGGTTGTATCTTGAGATCTCTTTTCAAAATCATTCCACTGAGAATACAATTTATGTAAGCAATTTATTCCTTTCTTGATTCTGTTGGACAAATTTCCAGTCTTCTAGAGCTATCTTCATGATCTCTTTGAGCTCTGTAGTTATATCAAACTGTAGTATATCCAAGAGGGGTATTAAGGACACAGCTGAAGGATTGCTGCCAAATCTGCAGAATTTCCTTCCTGTCTTAGGTGACAGCTGGGTTTCTGCTTTTCAATGGCACTACAGTCCCGAGTATAGTTGGACCATGAACATTCTTTAGCTTTGCTGAGAAAGCCTTCATTTGTCTGCGTGGTCCTAAGTTTCTCCAGCCCTAAGAATTATTCACTTGGATGCATTTTATTTAATCTACTTATCCTTTCTAAACCTTTGACAATGTATTTTTTTGTTTGCAGTTAATAATGCTTTTATTGTTGTGCCACTCTCTGAATGAGGCCCACTGTCCCTTGATTTGCAGTGCGCCCTGGGTGAACTTCTTAATCCATGGATTCCTCATGTTGCCACTTCACCCTTGGCACTCTTGATATATGTTCATAGTCATCTCTGCAGAAGTTATTCATGTCCCAGGAATTTCATTAGAAATTGTGGGGTTGATCAGAAATGTCTTTTAATTCTTTTGGTATTAGCAGAAGTCAGTTGACTAATGATTAATTCATTATTCAGCCCAATCCAAGGCTGAATAATCAAATACTGACTGGCCCCTAGCCTTTTGTGAAAGTAGTCCAATTTGAAAATGCATTCTAATGCTTTATTCTAAGTTCTACTTTTTCTTTAAGCATGCATCTTTATAAATGGTGATCTAAAGCAATACACTTTAAGTTTATTTAACCACAGAATACTTTAAGGATTATAATGTAGCACTGGAATACCAAGAGGTAGTCATGAAATATATGATAATAATTAAAGCTATAAATTAAAAGTAGTCTTATAGGTTAATTAATTGTAAGAAAGAGTCAACATTTGTTTTGCTTTTTTAAACTTTATAATAGAGTAAAATAAATTGAAGAATTCAAAATGTCATTACCAATAAGATAACACATTGATATGGTTAAATTATAAGACAAGGTCCACAATTTAGACCCGTAATTCTCAGTTTGACACAAATATCAATGAAAGATTTGCACATAACCTCATTCTGCATCATCTAGCCACTCAAGTAATTTCTTTGGATGTGGCATAACATTTCTTAAGTGTAGGATATTAACATATAATAATAAGAGCAGTCATGTTAAATACATTTCTGTATGAAAATGGATTGCCTTGAATCTCTATTTCCATGTCCTAGGGAGGGTGGCACAATGCTGAAACACTTGGCTGCTAACCTAGAGGTCAGCATTTCAAATCTGCTAGCTGCCATTGGGGAGAAAGATACAGTAATCTGCTTCTGTAAAGAGTGTAGCCTTTGGAAACCCTATGGGGCAGTTCTACTCTGTTCCATAGTGTTGTTGTGATTTGAAATTGGCTTGGTGGAATGGGTATGTTTTTTATTTGAGGGAAGCCTCCAGGAGCGCTAGTGGTACGATGGTAAGACCAAAAGATTGGTAGTTCAAACTACCCAACAGTCCTGTGGAAGAAAGATCTGTCAATCTACTTCCGTAAAGTTTACAGCCTAGTAGAACTGGGGTCACTATGAGGTGAAATGGTCTCAAAGGCACCACAGCAGTGAATAGGAATCATTACACCTTCACAAGATCTCCTGTGTCTTGAAGAGTTTACACTGTCAAAACACCCCTTTCTCTCTCAAATCAACTAGAATGAAAAACTTGAGTTCCCAGGACAGCCACTCCTAGTCTGTCATGATTTCTAGAAAGACAAGTTGGAGATTCTTAGGGAAGGGTCACATGACCACATCTGTGGGTTTCACCATGTAGCTGCTATTCATCCCACTCACACTTCATCCTCCCTTTCATTCTCTTTTCAAAGAAATACATCTGCATTTCTTTCTCTCACTTTGCAGGCATTACTTCGTATTCCAAATACTTGTTGTTGTTATTGTTATTGTTGTTAAGTGCCATCAAGTTGATTCTGACTCATAACGACCCTGCATAGGGTTTCTGAGGAGTGGCTGGTGGGTTCAAACTGCCACCTTGCCATTCAAACGGTCCTAGCGGCCTAGTGCTTATCCTACAGCGCTGTATTTTTCTACAGAAACGTGTGCTCCCCTTTGAAGAGTGTTTATATCAATTTACACCCTTTGTATACTTTCTATAATATGTTGTGTAACTTTAAGATGGTAAAATTTTTATCTTTATGTCTTTAAATATTTTTCTACCCCATTCTCTTTTGGGATATATGTTAGACCACTTAGTATTTGATATATGTGTATAATTTCTTTTTCCTCTGTACTTTTGAGTGGGTATTTTCTTTTAACCTATCTTTCTGTTCAGTCACCTTTCTTTGGCTGTATCCAATCTGTGATTAGCCTTACCAATGAATTTTTCATTTTAAACATTGCATTTTTCAGTTCCAGAATTTCTATGTGGCCTTTTTTATAGTGGTTCCTTTTAGTATTTGAATATATTTATATTTTCTTATATTTCCATTTAGTATTTGAATACATTTATAATAGCTGTTTTATTAAAGTCCTTATCTGCTTATTCCAACATCTGAATCATTTTAGGATAATTTTCAATGACTGATTTTTCTCTTGACTATGTGGAGTCCTGGTGAGGCATTATTGGATAAGCATTGGACTGCTAACTGCAAGGTTGACAATTCAAACCTACCAGCCACTCCTTGGAAACCCTATACAGCATTGCTGTGAGTTGGAACCAAGTTGATGGGATTTAATATCAACAACATGAATTACATTTTCTTATTTCTTTACATGTGTAGTAATTTTTTATTGTATGCCAGACCTGTAGATGTTACATTTTAGGGCATTTGGATTATATCATCTTCCTTTAAAATAAAACTGAGATTTATTCTGACAAGTAGTAAAATTATTGACAGATCCTTTTGGTCCTGCCTGGCTTGGTCTTATTACTTATTATTAGTGTTGCGTGCCATCAATTTGATTCTGTCTGATAGCAAACCTTGTATAGGGTTTCTAAGAAAGCTGGTGGGTTTGAACTGCCAAATTTTCAGTTAGCAGTTGAGTGTTTATCCTACAGTGCAACACCAAGGCTCGTATCTATTATTGTTAAGTGCCACAAAGTTGGGTTCTGACTCATAGCAAACTCTGTATAGGATTTCCAAGGCTTAAATCTTCAAGGGAGTAGAAAGCTTTCCTGCTTTATGTATTAGGGTGACTATTTTTATTTCAAATTTAGTCTTAGGGAGTGTTCCTCATTCTATGGTATGATCCTTATTCCTAAGAAGTAGCTTTTCTGTATCTTAGTGTATGTTTGAGGTGCTTAGTGAGGTCTCTCCTAATGTAGGGCTGGAACTGTAAAGCCTCCAAGCTCTACCCTAGTTGGTATCACCATTCAATTTCCAACCTTCAGCAGATGATATTTGTTAAGCCTTGCAATCTTGCCCTATGCATGTCTGAAGAACATATACAATCTGAAGAACTAGACATCAATCTTCTGCTACCCACTGTCCTTGAACCCCTCTACCCTGAACTGCTTTCTTTAATTTCCCCCACAAATTCCAGCCACCTCCAAAGCTCAGAACTCCTCTCTTCACGGAGATCATGGCTTCACTTGTATACTTACTGCCTGGAGGGTAATGTCTTCAAGTGCAACATAAACATTTTGTGTGATAGCCATGTGTGGTTCCCCTATGCTGTCTAGGGTTTAGTTGTCTCATATATTTTTTCTATTTTTTATAGTTGTTTTCTCCCAGAGGGTAAGACAGTACCCACTTCTATGGCAAGTGGATATCCAAAGCTTGAGTTTTTTCATACTATTGTGTTCTCATAAACAATCAGAAGGATAATTACAGTTGTCACTGTTGTTAAGTGCTGTGGAGTTGTTTCCAACTCATAGCCACCCTAGATAGGGTTTTTGAGGAGTGGCTGGTGGGTTTGAACCATGAACTTGAGGTTCAAACTGACCTTGCAGTCTAGTGTTTATCCTACAGTGCCACACCAGGACTCCTAATTACTATAGTTGTTGTTGCTGTTGTTCAGTGCTGTTGAGTCAGTTCTGACTCATAGTGGCCCGGTATAGGGTTTCTGAGGAGCAGCTGGTGAGCTTGAACCACCAACCTTACAGTTCAAATCTACCTTGCAGTCCAGTGCATCAACCCACAGCGCCACTTTCCTTGTCAGTGTTTCTGGACCTGTAGATGTTAGAAGGCCTGCATGTATATTTTCTTTTGTACTGAGTGCATTATTAAAGGGCAGCTATGTGAAATACCAGAGCTTGGAAACGTCCCTAAAGTGAATTTGAAGGATATATTACTCCCAGCCCCTTCAAGGAAGAGTGAAATTCAGGGCTGTATTGACTGTAAACTTCTAGTAGGTACACACAGGCACACACACACAAACACACACACACACAAAGCTTCAGTTTGTTAGACTTTACTAATTTGATTAGAGAGTTTGTTTTAATTTATAAATTCACCTTTTGTAATTCAGACACTCATTAACAAAATAATTGCATAGGTTGCATTTTTATTTTTCACATTTTTCCTTTTAAAAAGATAAAAAAGAAATGACCTTCAAAAGATGAGGATTTTCCATTATGAATATTCCACATTCCCTAAAGGGACTCCCAAGAGTTTTGGAAGTAGTAATGCTATTATTAGGTAACTTTCCAAGGTTGTTGCTTTGAAAGGAACAACACTCCTTCAGACGTTTACATTTTGGTATGGTTTTTTCCATTCTAATCTTATTTCATGTAGTGATATCTGTTGATTTCCTTTAGTATTATTTTCTTTCTGCATACAAGATTTGCTTTAAACTAATGATCACATTTGATAACTGTCATTATTCATTAATGAATATCTTCATTTTTTCAGTTAAATGCTTTTGAGTTCCTGTACCAAGGTATTGGGAGTAAAGTGATGAGCCAAAAGCAGCCCCCCCAGAGTCTATAGAGTTACTGGGTGGTGCAAATGGTTAATGCACCCAGCTGCTAACCAGAAGGTTGGCGGTTCAAGTTTACCCAGAGATACCTTGGGAAAAAGACTCGATGATCTAATCCTGAAAAAATCAGCCATTAAAAACACCATGGAAAATTACTCTACTCTGATACACATGAGTCAAAATTGGCTCTATAGCAACTTTTTTGTTGTTGTTGTTTTGTGTGTGTGTGTGTTTAATAGAGCTTACTGCTTAAATTGAGTATTCACAATCTAAAATTTAATGGAACATATTCTTGTACCTTTCTTTTTAAAACCACGTTCAGAACTTTTAAACCTTTCAGAAAGTCCTTGGTGAGACTAGATGTGTGTAATATGCTTTGTAAAAAGAGGCAATTCAAAGAATTAAAGAGCATAGTTCCTGGCCTTGATGTGTTTATTGTTTAAATTGAGACCATTTATTAAAAAAATGTAAATACTTATGAATATCTAAAATAGAAGTATAGAGTTTGAGGAAATGTTGGATGCATAATCATTGCTAAAGAAGTAAAGTCATGCTGAAAAGATTGTTTTGGAGGTGGTAGGTTTATTTATAGGAAAATGCTTTCAGAGAAAGAATTGCTTTTCTTGGAATGGCACACAGAATCAGGAACTGATGTACAGTGACACACAAATTATATTCCAGAATTGGAGAGATGACCACTTTCTCCTAAATTAAAATAAAACAAAAAACTGTCTGAAGTGGTTAACTCTTGAATTTTCTTTATTACAGAACTTGTGTTCGATCTGTACTTTTTTGTTTCTCCTAAATTTATCTTTGTCAAAATGATATGTAACTTACACGGTTCAATGGTTTTTACAATGATGAAATTGTTACTCAGAGTAACAAGGTAAGTTGAAGGCTAGACAGCTCTAATCTTATAAATCAGGAAAATCAAATCAGTCTGAACAGGACAATCATTAAATTGAATTTCGTTTTCCTTATTAGGATCCTCGGTTCAATGCTGAAGTTGACCAAATTACAGGCTACCGGACACAAAGTATTCTTTGCATGCCAATTAAGAATCACAGGGAAGAGGTAAGCCAATTTTCAATTTTATAAAAAGTTCTTTGGAAATAATTTTTCTTTTTGAAAAAAAATTGTTTTTACTTTGCATACATTTAGAATGAATACTATGTTGTTGTTGTTGTTAAGTACCATGGAGTCGGTTCTGACTCACAGTGACCCTACAAAGGGTTTCCAAGGCTGTAAATCTTTATGGGAGCAGACTGCCTCGTCTTTCTCCCGCAGAACCCCTAGTAGTTTCAAACTGCCGACCTTGAGGGTAGCAGCCCAATTCGTAACCACTATGCTACCAGAGCTCCTTGAATACTATGTAGTTAGTGATAAATTAACTGTAAAGTACATACATGGTGTACCTTATACTTTTTATTTAGAGTTTAGATATAGGATAGAGTTCAATCCTGATACTCTACTGTAGTCTTTGTATTAGAATTAAATTTCAGACATATTGTTCTCCTTTCCCTCAGAAAACTTTTATTATATTTTAAGATACATAATTATAGTTGTAGTTGGAATCAGTTTATTTCATATTATATATTATGTAAGGGTTTAAATAATACTCCATTTGTAAATGCTCTTGTGATTGCAGTGGTCATCATCATTGGCTATTATCTGTGGATTCAAAATGAGTTTTGATAAAATTGAAAATTGGGCTAAGGCCAAGTAACTGTGTAACTTTCATTGTGAAATTATGACATGTAAATGTGTGTTGATTCATATTTTACTTAATATGAAGGTTTGAATTCTATCAGCGCTGAATTTTCATTTTGCATTTCTTTGGGAAAAAAAAAAGTTAAAATGAACATTCTAAATCATGGCTATATATATATACAATTAATTGGTGACTTTCTAAAAAAAAAAAAAAAAAAAATCAAATCAGTGTCTCTAGGGTAGGATCGGAATACTGATAAATTTCCAAAGCTCACCGAATGTTTTCTAGCCAAGGTTGAGAATCACTACTTGGAGTGACAATGTGGTGGTGGTATGCCATTGAGTTGCGTCCGACTCATTAGCGACACTGTATAGGATTTCCGAGACTGTAAATATTTAGGGGAGCAGAAAGCCTCACCTTTCTCCCATGGAACAACTGGTAGATTCAAACTACTAACCTTGCGTTAGCAACCCAGCTCATAATGACTACACTGCCAGGGCTCCTTAAGTGAAAACACAGCTGTGATTTTTAACCTTGATTGCACATTAGAGAGTCACCTGGAGTGTATTTAAAACTCTTAATGCCCAAAATTCACTTCACATCAGTTAAATCAGGATTTCTGGGGTTGGGACCCAAGTATCACATAATTTTTAAAGCTCCAACATGATTACAATGTGCTGCCACAATTGGTAGTTACTTCCAAAGATACAAGAAATACTTTGGAGTTTCTTTTTTATTTATATTCTGATTCCAACATCTTTCTTTCCCCTTTTTCATCCAGTTTGTTACCTAGTCCCACTGATTTAATTTTTTTTCTTTTATAGTGTTCTTCATTTCATTTATTTTATTTTATTTTCATCCTTGCTGCTTGCACCAATTTCCCTTCAGTCTACTTGTAGACTACTTCTCTGGGATATTCTTAAATCAGTGACTTTGAAACATTATTTTATGTGGATATCACCTAAGAATCTTGTTAAAATTCAAAAGTTCTGAATGCATGGGTCAAGGGTGGAGCCTGAGATTCTTTTCTAATTTGATGCTGATACTGTTGATCTGCAGACTACATTTTTATTAACAAGACCCTAAATAAATGTCTTCAAGTTGCTATCTGGTTTCTTAAGAGGATAGCTCAAGCAGCCTCTATTAAAAATACTTATTGCTAAGACATGCATATGAGGTTAATTAGTTATTTGCTTCATTAGTTAATTAACTATATGAATGTTGTTGTTGTTAAGTATCGTGGAGTTGGTTCCTACTCATAATGACCCTGCACGGGGTTTCCGAGGCTGTAAAACTTTATGGGAGCAGAAAGCCTGATCTTTCTTCTGCAGAACAGCTAGTAGTTTCGAACTGCTGACCTTGAGGTTAGCAGCCCGATTCTTAACCACTACACTACCAGAGCTCCTTATTATGTGAATAGACGAGTAAAACTAAAAAGACCATACAAGGACTGATGGCTTTCAGTGCATTTTAAAAAGGGTTGTCAGATATAGCAAATAAAAAGTATTCTGTTGCAATATTTGGGTTGTATTTGTACTCAAAAATTGTTATTTCTGTGAAATTAGATTAATTGGATGTCCTATATTTATCTGGCTGATGTAGGTATAAAACAGGACTTTGATTTTATGGGCTTCTGATGTGGCTCTGTAAGATCAGCACTGAACAGCAAACCACACGGTCACCTGTTCAAATCCACCAGCTGCTTCTCAGAAACCCTATACAGGGTCGCTGTGAGTCAGAACCAGCTTGAAGGCACTTAGAGTATGGAGAAAACTAGGTCCCGCTAATGTTCAGCTTTTAGTCGGTAATTATTCTTTAAAATCTTGGCCTCCTAAAACAACTTTGTACTGGCAAAAGAACTCGGCCCAAATCATGCTCCATTAACCTTGTTTTTCTAAATAACACGAATGATCTTGCCAGCAGTGGAGCTTAGGCGTGTCCATGAGAATATGTGACATCATTCCCAGAGCAGTTAGTGGGACTGCTCCTTCTATAAAAGAGCATCATCAGGATTCATGTTTCATCTTTAAGGCTACCACTACGGATGACTTAATATTTTTAAGAGAAAAGATGTAATTGACGTGCAGTAAAATTCACCCTCTATTGGCGGCCACTTTTTGTTTTGACAAGCATTTATTATGCCGTCATCTAACTATCATTATAATCAAGATACAGAACATTTCTATCATCTCAGATTTCCCCCTATATCCCTTTACAGTTGATCTCCTGCTGTCTCCCTACAGTTACTGATCTGCTTTCTGTCACTATTGTTTTGTGGTTTCTAGAATGTCACGTAAGTGAAATCCTTCTTTCTGTATCTAGCTTCTTTCCCTTACAATAAAGTGCTTTTGAAATTCATGTACATTATTACATGCATCAGTGTTGTTGTTAGGTGTCATTGAATTGGGTCTGATTCATAGCAACCCTATGCACAATGAAACAAAATACTGTCCAAACCTGTACCATTCTCACAATTATTTTTACATTCAAGCCTATTGTTTTGCCACTGTGACAATCCATCTCATAGGAGGTCTTCATCTTTTTCACTAACTTCCATCTTACTAATCATGATGCCGTCCTGTGGGGGATTGATCCCTCTTAATAACATGCCCAAAGTATGAGAGACAGAATCTTCCCACCCTTGTTTCTAAGAAGCATAATGACTATACTTCTAAGACAAGTTTGTTTGTTCTTCTGGTAGTCCATGATATTTATAATATTTTTTTCAAACACCATAATTTGTGTGTATCAGTTCTTATATGGTATTCCTTATTTATTGTCCAACTTTCGCATGCATATGAATCAATTAAAAGTACTGTGGTTTGAGTCAGGTTCACTGTAGCCCTCAAACTGTTATCTTTGCTCTTTAATGCTTTATAGAAGTCTTGGGTAACCGATTTGTAAATTTCAGTACGTTGTTTGATTTCTTCACTGCTGCTTCCATGAGTATTGATTTGGATCCAAGCAAAATGAAGTCTTTGACAACTTCAAGCATTTCTCCATTTATCATGATGTTATTTATTGGTCCAGTTGTAAGTATTTTTGTTTCATGTTTTTTTACATTGAGGTGTAATCCATATTGTAGGCTAGTCTTTGATCTTCTTCAGTAAGTATTTTAAGTCCTTTTAGCAAGCAAGGTTGTATCATTTGCCTATTGTAGGTTGTTAATGAGTCTTCCTCCAATACTGATACCATGTTGTTCTTCATATAATCAAGCTTCTTGGATTATTTGCAGAGCATACAGATTGAATATATATGTTGAATGGATACAACCCTGAAACATACTTTTCTTGATTTTAAGCCATTCAGAATCCGCTTGTTCTGTTCAAACAACTGCCTCTTGGTCCAAGACCAGGTTCATCATGATTATAGTTAAGTGTTCTGGAATACTCACCCTGTGCAGTGTTATCCATAGTATGTTATGATCCATATAGTTGGAAGCCTTTGCATAGTCAATAAAGCACAAGTAACATCATTTTTGTATTCTCTGCTATCATCCATGATCCATGAAATCTGAATCCTAGATCTGAATCTGCTTGAATTTCTGGCAGTTTCCTATCAGTGTATTGCTGTGACTGATTTTTAATTATCTTTAGCAAAATTTTACTCACATGTGATATTACTAATATTAATGATTTCCTCATTCTGTTGGACCACCTTTTTTTGGAATGGGCACAAATATGAATCTCTTCCAATTAGTTGACCAGTATCTGTTTTACAAAATTTTAGTGGTTGGTGTGTAAATTTAAATAATATAGTTATTAACTGATGTTCCCTGGAGGTGTATTGTTAATTATCCTGTCACAATTATGGAATGACATCAAGAACATCATACATGCAGTAAGTAAAATATTGCATGTATCTCAAATATCTTATACCTCAAGATAGATCTTGAAATGTTCTTTTTCATGATCAATCCAATGTCTTTCCTCTTCAATTTGTCATTCCCAGCATAGTAAACTATATGATTGTTGGATTCAAAATGGCCAATACCAGTCCATTTCAGCTCACTGATGTCTAAGATATCGATTGTTATATGCTCCATTTTATTTTTGGTAGCTTCCAATTTTCCTAAATTCATACTTTACACATTCCACATTAGATTGTTAATGGATGTTTACAGCTGTTTCTTGTGTTGCGCCCCCTCAGCAAATGAAGGTCGTGAAAACTATGCTCTATTCATGTCATTAAGAGCAACTCTGTTATAAAGAGGCATGTCTTCCTTAGTCGGATTTTAAACACCTTCAAACATGAAGGGCTCATCTTCAGGCACTGTATCTGACAATATGCTGCTGCTCTTCATAATGTTTTCATGTTCTGGCACTATATCTGACAATGTTCTGCTTCTGTTGATAAGTCTTCC